TATCGCATTTATTTTATTATCAATCGTGCGCCAGCTGACTGTATAAAGCAGGGTTTTCATTTTACTCTCAAAAGTTGCGTGAATATAAAACTTTTTCTTTTAATTTGTTGCACAAATAGTGAGAAATGCCAGAACCATCGAATATAGAAAGTCTAAGCAGGCAGAACTCGGTTTTCGTTGTTTTGCACTTACTTGGTATTCTATCGTATTTAAAAAAACACGAACAAGAGACTGTATGCAAGTCCAGCTTCGTACACGTAAATATTACAATGTGACCCTTCCCTGGCACCTAGCCCTGACCCTTGCTTTGCCTCTATAAATCCCACGTGACATGTGTTGTAAATAAAACCGGTTGAATCCAGTTTCACAAACAACACCCAATTTTGTCATATTAACCTCCAATCAAACACATTGTCAAAACACAACCATTTTAAAAATAAAATCCTCACCTTACGGCCATTTTTAAAGTTTAACTCAACATCAGCTGTTACATTCGTTAGCAAGCTGCTCATCAAAAACAGCTTTTCACAACCGACCCAGAAACATAATCAGCTGTGATGTTGATTTCGGGATCCACGCGAACTTGAAGTGCGAACTTGAAGTTGAACTAAAATTCATATTTATTTACTTATTCATACTGTCCTGTTGGCTATATAATGATGAGTATCTGCCAATCACAGTGACCTTGATCAATGATAATAATAACAATAATAACAACAACAACAACAACAACAACAATAATAATAATAATAATAATAATAATAATAATAATAATAATAATAATAATAAATTTGTATTACACCGTAATGAAATTATAAATTTATTTTTGGCTGAAAGTGATAAAAGAGAGAGATAACAAGCAGGTTTTAGAATAACATAAAATCATGCTATAAAAATAAAAACATACTTTCAGATACCGTGTCACGTGTCTATTAATAATGTACACCAAGTATAGGTGTGTATACTAACAATACATTTGTGTATACACGGTGGGACATTTATTACAACTTTTAACTCGAAGGTTAAACTGAGGTCAGTATGGACTGACCGTAAACCACGGCACAATTCGACGGGATCGTTACAATGGGGGGAATGCGACAATGCATACATTCAAATTAGGTGGACGCTCACTCGCCCTAAAAATCAACAATAGTGGTGTTGGGACAAACCATAGTTACATACGCACAACCAGAATAAAGCACGCTACCGGGCGAATATTCCCAACAGAGTCAACGTGAATACAGCTACGCCAAAAACAATTCTACTGTACTGTTATAGTACCTAACTCCTTTGGCGATGTCGCGTGTAATAACGCCATACCCCTCCCTCTTTTTTACATGAATGTGTTGTCGGCATAGAGCAGCCAGTCAAAACTAGTTTTAGATTATAAATATACCCTAGTTCATAGTAACCGAGCTAGTCGCGAGCATATTATTTTAACGTCAGAATGGCAGTGTCAAGGTTATTCCGGGGTTTTGTCTCTCATTGTTTTCAACGTCCACTGAACCAAAACGTATGTGTGAGTGCAACTTCAAGTTCAATTTGTCATGGTACCCCCGTTCGATCGACTCTTTCCGCACTGACAAACTCGACACACTGCTGCGTTCAGCGGATAAGACACGTCCACACTAAATATCGCAATCAAGTG